AAGCGCTCGTATCTGGTAACCTTGCCCACTTATTGGGTCCACCATGAGGCTCCTCCCCCCGGACCCAATCCTGGTGTAATCATCACAATCAGCTTCTTGAATTTTCGGTGCATAAAGTACGGCCGGAGGACCGACCATGGCCGGCCTGTCGACATGTCAGGTTCTGGGAGTGGGAACAATGATCCAAGATTAACCAGTATTTGTATCCTTGCGCCGCAGGTCCCGTAGATTTGAAATTATTTGAAAGCCGCGAACATCTATCTCTGCCCCACTACTTCCCAATACAAGTATGTGCACACTCAAGCACTCAGGAAACATAAAATCGGACTAGTAAAGGTAAATCCGCCAGTGAATTGGTGCTTCCTCATGAGATAGATAGCGATTGGCTTTGATAACGATCGAGCGCTGCGCCCAGTGATCCAATGAGTCGATGGGTGCTCTATGGATCGATCCCAATACACAATTGAGTCAGTCGGGATCACATGCGCATCTGACAGATTCGTGCCTTTTTTCTTCCCCCAGCTATTGACTTCGCGTGACCCCCCATCTTTCCAAGCAGGAATCAGCATCCCCAGAGAAAGTTCGTTCCATCGGACGGAAGACCGTCTGCCACACACCACACTGCGCATGCGCATAGAGTATGAATATCCTCGGGGGGCGTTCTCACGAATGTTGAGCAAAGTTACGACACAAACAAACCCCTGTCGAATTAACAACGAGTATTTTAGGTTATCCTTGTTTTGAGGGAAGTGGGGCACAAGGCTATTATAGAAACCGCCTCACTGGCATTCCATCAAATGGCCCATCATCCCAGTTTATTGTTGCATTCAGACACCTAGGGGAAGGTGCGAGAAGCATTTAATGGCGTGAGAAGCCTTGAGAATGTCATAGGATGGGGAGATATGAAAAATTGACAGAAGCGTAGACTGGCTTCTGGTGGCACCGTAGTATGGCGTTAGCTGCGTGATGGCCGCACATTCTGCTCGCCTCGATTTGGTATGCGATAGCTTTTCCAAAAAAAAAACGGCGTCCTCGCTTGGGCGCACTCACCGCCTTCGACGTACCCCCGCCTACATAACCCTGTCAAATGCGAAGCGTGGGCGGTACTGTACTCGTTGCATCGGCGACTTCAATGAAGGGTCGGAAATAAATACTAGTCAAAGGCACACGCTATGTCCGAGAACAGGATCGAGGTGACTGGCTGTTATGCGCCAGCGGTAATTTCCGCTTGACAAAACCTGGACCTCGTGGTTTGCGAGCTTAAGGTTAGGATTTTTTTGGCGTTGGCAACCACAAGTCGATTTCCCGGATCAAGTGATGGCAAGCTCATTTTTGGCGCCTCTGGGGGACGGTCAACGGTCGACATCCAAGGAAAGGGATATGGCTCTTCTGTGATATGTTGAAACGACGGTAGCGTAGGTTCATAATTCCGTGTATTGGTGGAGGTATCGTGATCACGAGTGGCTGAGAGGCAGATGCGTTCGCCTAGTTACTGGCTAGACCGTGGGGGTAAATTTCGTGGCCACAAGACATAATGTATTATAATCGCCGTTTATAATAGAGATACAAGGCCAGAGCTTTTGATCAGCTGCTATTGTCTGCATTTTGATGGGGGGTGGATGGTTTGCCACAAAACATGTCTCAAATAGATGGGTCATAGGCGACAAGGCGGGGCTGGATTTCTTGTCTATAACTCATAGACACATGTGAGACTCCAATCGCTTAGGAATGACTATGGAGGGGCTGTGTTAGAGCTGAATTTTTGCCACATACGAAATGATCCCGACGCGGCCAAGTGATTGGCCCAATTTTTAGGCGAATGGATAGGGTTGTCGTTGTTCAATTTTTGCGCTTGCGATGATATTCTCCATAGAAATTTCGAAAGCTTTGAGACCCTAGATGTGGCGGGCGAAAAATAACGCTGACCAGGACGGTGAAGGCACGGGAAGGAGAATGTCATGACAACTTCCAATAGAAATATCCACGAGAATTCCAAGTCAAAAAGGACAGAAAACAGCAGGCCCTATCATTTTGTGGTCAAATGTATCAACCCTGTCGAAAACGCGGCGACACTATGAGATCCTGTGTCCGAAGAAGACGTCAACAAGGGCTGCACGCGCGCCGAACTAAATACAAATTACTTTTCAAGCCATTGACTACTACACATTGGCCTAATTCTGAAGGGTTGGTCGCCGACGCGTATCGCGTCGCACTGCATGACGGAAAAAGACAACGTTCTGTTTGGCGCTGATTTGGTTACAGCCGTGACATCACATTAATTAAACACAACCAAATACCTCTCCAGCGCTACCTTTTTTGACGGTTTATATTATTTTGACGGTGCATGACGGTGCAGCTTTCTCCTTGGCCAACGCTCGATATCCTTGTCATTCCAACATTTAAAGACTTGTATAGCTAAATCTATCGCTATCAAACTCACGCTCTCCGATATGGCACTCAAGCATATACCTATACCGAGCCTACCAATCCCGCCGTCATGGTTCCCTGGACATATGATGAAGTTTACGCGGATGCTCCCGGCCTTACTTACCAAAACAGACGTTGTTCTCGAGATCAGAGACTCTCGTCTCCCACTGACAAGTATCAATCGAACATTAGAAGGTATGTCAGAACCTTCCTGCGTGTTCTTCGGGCCCCACATTGTGCGCATTCAGAAGTTGCACGAGGGATATGTTGGTTCCTTATTATGGGAGATTTTGAATCCCATTCTCACCTGCGACCCCGGTGGTTCATGCTTGTACCCTTTTCTCACCCTTGACCTTTTCGACGCTCAATAAAGTCAATTATTTTTAGGATCCCTGCAAAAATGGAGACTCGAACGAGGTTGGGATCCAAACAACCCTCAACGCCGTATCGTGAACGCCGGGGCATGTGAGCGTATCATCGTGCTCAACAAACGAGATCTGGTCCCAGAATGGGGAATGGAAGTACGCATGTCCGATCCTTATCTCTGAAGTAGACCATGAAGTATTCTTGCCCAGCCATTTCGCAATGCCATGGCCAATAAGTTTCCTGGCCAGCAAGTGATGTTTGCTTCATGGCAACGACCGCGGGATATTCGCAACCTTTCCGAGCTTTTAGTAAGTATGTTGCTCTACTTCTTCCTACTCGGAAATGAGGGTATGTTCATATGCTGATGATCTTGCTATAGACATAGCTAAAAAGTACCCACATTCCATGGAGCTCAACGTTTTAGTTATTGGGATGCCTAATGTCGGTAAATCAACCTTGCTCAATGCTCTACGAAATACGGGTATTAAAGGCCGTACGATCCGGTTTACTTCGTCCCCCATGCCACTTGAATCCTGACCGCCTTTCTATTAGGTACACCGAAGGCATTACAGACTTCTGCCCAGCCCGGCCTAACTCAGGCTCTCTCCACCCGGCTCAAAGTTTCATTGGAACCCCTTGTATATGCATTTGATACACCCGGTGTAATGCTACCCTACCTGGGACGTGGCGTGGAAGGTGCCGAGAGAGGGGTCAAGCTCGCTCTGATAGGTACGTAACATCCGTGCTCATACCACCTCATCCTTCAGGCTCTGATGAGGGACGTTTTATCTTCCTTGCATGTAGCGGGAATTAAGGAAGGACTGTACGATATGGAAGCCCTTGCGTCATATTTGCTCTACAGACTTAACGTTCTGAATCCCATTTGTACGTGTAATTACCTGGCTCTCTGCCTAAAATTGCTTACCGATCGACCGCGCGGCAATAGCCCCGGCATATCTGCAACTCTTACCGAAGGGTGCCACGCCTACTGTCGATCTTCACGATTTTCTTGAGCAGCTTGCCCAGCGGATGGGCATGGTCAAGCGTGGCGCCGAGCTTGACACTTCCCGCGCTGCAGTTCACTTCGTGCGGTGGTGGCGAGAACAGGGCGGTCTCATTGCTGCTTCTAGTTCGCCGCTCCACTTCGCCGAAAAGTCTGGTTCTGAAATTCACCATCCCCCCATGCAAGGTTGGGGTTTTGATTTTCAGTGGCAATTAAACGCAGAAAATCGTCCGGCGACCAAGGCGGACGAAGCGTTGTTCGTCCAAGCAAAAATGGAAGCTTGTATTGACGAATACCTTGCTGCCACCGAACGCGAGGATAAGGAAGAACTCAACATTAGCCCAACGCAGATTAAGAAGCAGCAAGTGAGAGAAGAGAAGCTGAAACGGAAACAGAAACACATGAAACGGTGATCTTAGCGTGTTCTCATCGATATGTGCTGCCTATTTACTATTACCCACACATTCTTATCTAATTCTTTACAAATCTGGAATCCTCGTTCGAAGTTCACTGTTGTTTCTGCCAGTTACTGGCTCAAATACTTCCACCCTCGGATGATCTTCGAGAGGACCGCTAATATTTCGGAAGAAGAGTTCCAAGCGCCACAGTTGTGGCCTGAGAGGTTGATATAATCCTTCTGCCCCTGAAAAATATTTCTTTTACTATGGCCCACTGAACACACATCCATGCGTATCACTGTGAAGCATATGGATCGTTCCCATTGCAGCACCCCTCTGATCTTGATGCCCTTTCTAAAACTGAAGTGACCTCGTGGTTCCCATGCTTTACCCTGCTTCATCCCCGGTGTCCGACAGCTTGATGGTTTCAGAATTGGTGTAAAATCCCAGTGCACACTGATGCACATATGACGGATGGAGGTGGATGCATCATTTCGGGGGTAGAGCAGATATATATCCATATATCCACGGATTTGGAGCAACTGCTGTGATTGGTAGCATCATTTTTGGTCATTTTGGTCCGCCCTTTCCTCACAACCGTCAAATTACATACAAGTACACTAGGTGTATCAGTGCCATTCTTTTGCAAAAATCTCGATCTTCTATCAAATAGTCTTGCATAGCAATTCGCGAATGCACAATGATGCCAGTGCTCAGGATGGCGATGTAATCCAAGGTCTAAGAGCCCGGCAAATAAGTTATGAAGAGAAGGAAGAAAAATGGTGTTGAAGATATAACCTCATTCATGACCGAGACAGGGGTCGAACCTGCAATCTCCTGATTACATTTGCATCGTAGTCAGACGCGATGCCATTTCGCCACATCTTCCGGGCCGGACATAGTAGTCATCATTCCTAATTGAGAGAGGCTGTGCATAATTTCTCAACGCGACGCGCGGACGCGCGCTCACCGTTCCTCTTCTTCAGTTAGTCAATACATCGAATTCTGGCTTCTCTAACAATGTCAGGAATGAAATTTGAGTTTGTTCACTGCACTCCTGGCCTCTCTTCTCCCGACATTCTTCCCACTATGTCTCAGCCTACTATGGCAGAATCTATGCTAATTCAACGGAAAAGAAATTGACTGGCCATGATGCAATTTGGCTTCTTAACGAAATCTAATCACTAGAAATAACGCTATCTACAGTATACTCACTGGAACCAGTATCGCTTTCATGGGACAATGGAAATTTGTACCAGAAGACCACCGGTACCAGAAGACCACCGAAATGATGGGACTAGCACCAATTCTGGACTCTCTCCGTGCTCAGGCTGGAATGGAAGCAT